CTCGAAGACGACACTCATGGTTTACCGGATTGTCCGGTTCGTAGCTGTCACCTAGTATACACACATCCTTGGGATTACATTTGCAGATCTTGAGAGAGAGAGAGAGAAATAGAAAGAGAGCTTATAAATTCAGTCACTCGTAACCTAGAGCTTATAAATTGTTAAAAATATTTTGCTTAATTTATTAATACATTTTTAAAAAATAAGTATTTATTTTAAATGAAAAATAAAATTTATTTAATAATTAAATGTTAAAATTAAGTAAAACAAAAATAAGGATTAAATTTTAATAATATTTTTAAAAAATTGAGTATATTGTAAAGTTTATATTATAAGTTATAATGTTATAATCAATCGAAATTAACAAAGTGACATTACATTATATCTATCTAATTTGATTATTAAAAAACACAGTATCAAAAATTATCTGTTAATAATTATCTACTGTTACTAATATCATTACAATAAATTATAGTGTTAAATATTCTTCCGAGTTAAAATAACCATTATTAAATATCACCCCTCCGTCGACCACCAGATTAATGCCGGTTATATTGCGAGCATCGGTAGAGGCCAGGAATGCCACCGCTTTGGCCACATCCAGGGGCTCACTGTTACGTCTGAGAGGTGCTATGCGTTCAGTCAACTCCGTATACTTATTAATCTGATCACCATGTTGCACAATACCAGGGCTATTAAATAATGCATAACAGTTAGCTAACCCTAATCAATATTAGACACAATAATCATGGTAATTAGTAATTAGCAATTAAGTCTCGCGTTTTTTGAAAATTGCAACAATTTAAACATTTTTAACAGCTATTTTAACTAAGCTTAGTAATTACTTGACAGTATTCACTCGCACGCCTTTAGGGTAGAGTTGCCAGATTGATTTCAACCAAAACTGGATTCTTATTAGGATATCAACTTCAAAACTGGACAAAAACTGGACATAATAGTTTTGTTGTGTTTTTATATAAAATATTTATAAGGCATATATATTTTACTAAATAATGTGGACCCAATTGTGTTGTAATTATATACACCATATCATATATAGATCATATATACACATGAATAATGTAAATTGGAACAAAACATTCATATTTTGGCAAAATGTTTCATAACTGGACACAATGTCCAGTTGTACCCATGCACTGAAAACTGGACAAGATCATCCAAAACTGGACAATCCAGTCCAAAACTGGACGTCTGGCAACCCTACTTTAGGGCCCAACTGTATGGCCAGCACTCGGCTCAGCATATCTAAGGCCGCTTTGGCCACAGTGTATGGTATGGAAAATTCGGCCTATTTTTATAATAGCATATAAATTATATGAGCATGATACTTTTAATTACAACTAATATAATTACATACTGGTGCAATACCACTATCGAGTGATCAGAGAAATCAATAATGAATATAGACGTAATTTATAGTTAATCCAGTTATTAATTGTATACTTTATGTACATAATTTGAAACTGTGTTTACTAGTCAACACAACAGTGCAATTCATTTATTTTTATCTAATGTGATATCGAAGATGTCCTCATCCAAAGAGTTAGAGGTTCGGAAACGCTTTGGCACTTTAATAGAAATGCACCCAAATATGGAGCCTATAGATGTGGCCAATCATTTCAATTTGGAAGGAGTGCCCATAAGTACGGGTTTAGCAATAGTCAGACGTATCAAATCTGGTCAAGGTGTCGCCCGAAAACATGGTTCGGGCAAAAATATGGCCACTAGTCCAAGAACTAAGGATAAAATTATTGAATATGCCGTGAATGAAGTGGGTTTGAGTTACCGTTCTATTGGCCGCAGGTTCGGTAAACATAACGATACGGTGAAGAAAATATTGGAAGAGGCCGGTGTGGATCGCAAGAAACGGGTCAAATGCCCGAAATCCGATGAAAAACAAAAGGACAAACAGAAACACCGCCTCTCACAGCTTCGGCGAACCCTTTTAAAGCCAACCAATGGGGATGAAGTTGTGATGGATGATGAGTCATATTTTACCACCGATGGCTCTGACACTACTGTTAATGATTTTTATTACAGTCACCCATCACTAGAAGTTCCCGATTCTGTCCGCTATAATCCTATTTCAAAGTACCCCCAAAAGGTTATGGTTTGGGTGGCAATGAGTTCCCGCGGGTTTTCTGAGCCATACGTGTGTAGATCCGGAAATGCGGTCAATGCGGACACATATATACGAGAATGTCTGACCAGACTTAAAGATTTTTTAGACAAACATCATTCGGACGGGAAATATATATTCTGGCCAGACTTGGCGTCCAGTCATTACGCAAAGAAAACCGAAGAAATCTATGCACTGTTGGCATAAAAGTAGTTCCCAAAGACATAAACCCGCCAAATGTCCCGCAATGTCGTCCAATCGAGACTTTTTGGGCGTATTTACAGAATAAACTGTATACTAATCGTTCGCCATACAAAAATATTCCACAATTAATAAGAAGAATTAAACATATAATTAATAATGTTCCCGAAAATTTGTGCCAAAACCTAATGAGAGACGTGAAGACAAATGTCCGTAAAGCAGCGGACAGGGGACCGCTATCCCTCTTATCTCAAAATAAAAATACTCATTAATAATGTCGGTATAATTTACACTAAAATTAATTGTATTCTAATTGCTATAAAATTAATAAATTACATTCAAAGTTACTATTGATTTCTCTAATCACTCTATAATAGAGGACATATTAATGACAGTGCCTTTGGTGACCTCCAGGTGCGGAACAGCCAGTTGTGTCAGTTCTAGTATCGCCCGGACATCTACGGCGATTGTCTCGTCAAAGTGTTTCACCAGATTTGTGTCCCATATGTCTGTGAAGGGAGCGATTGTCTCGCAGTTGACCAACACATCTAGTCGACCAAATGTGGTGATCGTGGCTGTGATTAGTGCTTTCAAATCACCGGTTTTAGTTAGATCTGCCACCACTTCAAATGGCTATGTATTTATATTTAAGCATGTTTAATCATCGCTATTTTAATAATGCAATTAATTATATCTTTGCTATTTATTACTATTGTTTAGTAATTAATCTAGCTTAAATGAATTTACTGCAAAAAATAATAGAATAATAATATGTACAACAAATTTACCTTTAAATTTTTAGGTGACATTTGTTGACATTCTGCGGCCACGTTATGAATGAGTGTCTCATCCCTGCCGGTGACCACGACGTGGGCGCCCAATGCCGACAATAGTTTGACAATTGAGGCACCGGTGCCCGAACCCGATCCGGTGACCATGGCCACTTTACCCGTAAAATTGCGACCCTGTGTGGCCACTGCTTTATACTCGTCAACATTTACCGCTATGTTTGCCATTGAAAGTAAGGTTTTGACAATATTTTTACAATAAAATTACTTGATATTAAAATTGTTGTTATGACTTCTTGTTGAATTGGTTGCTGTTTATATACCATGGTTTGTTTTGTACTAAAATAGACACAGTATTAAGTGCATGTGCATTTATTAAATGCTCTGAATGCACCCGTTATCACATTTAACGTAATGATTGTTAGTGATAAGTGCAATGACAAGTGTATACATGTACCTACAATATTATATACAATCTATGTGTGTAATATTATGATAAATTATAGCAATGCACGTTATATTATTATTATTATATAATTTCCATAAGTTTCATTTCTATATCAATGTCAATTTATTAAATTTTTAAAAGTTATAATATTGACTTTTATTATTATATTAATAACTAAAATTATACATATAAAGTAATTTAATTTAAACATTTATGGTAAACATAATTTAGTGTACAGTACATTATAATTTGTGTCTAAAGTACATTTAGTATTGTGTCAGTCCATAGTCGCTTCCAATAATTGCATTTTTTTTTATGATTAATTAAGTATTAAATTATTTTAATTGAGATCTAGAAACTTTTATTAAATAAGTTATTGCCCATACGTTTAACTTTAAATTATAATTAATATTTGTAGACTGCCATGTTGCCTACTTTTATTATTATATTAATAACTAAAATTATACATATAAAGTAATTTAATTTAAACATTTATGGTAAACATAATTTAGTGTACAGTACATTATAATTTGTGTCTAAAGTACATTTAGTATTGTGTC